TCCCTCCCTCCCTCCCTCCCTCGACTAGGGTTCAGCACGGACGCAGCCAACTCTCCAAAAGGTCGCACAAGGGAGGCAAGGCTCCTCATAGTTCAATCTCCGCAGCAGTGACTGAGAGTATCGACAGACAAGACCCAAGACCATAACCACCAACACATAGATGGCAGTCACCACCATGTGCGTCTTCAGGTTTAGGGTTTCGGGATATTCGCTTTGAGCTTAAGGTTTGGGGTTTAGGGGTTTCTGGGCCCTAAACCGCGAAGCCGACTGCAGGGCAAAACAACTGCACGGACCGCAGCTCCATTCAATGTATATATGATGTATGTATATTCTCCGGTCGCTGCCGGCCGCCCCTTTGCGGGGTCGGTGGAAGCTGCGTCAGCCCTTAATCCGGCATGACCGTCATGGTCCAGCGCAGTACTGCGCCAGCTAAAGCTTTAGCTTTCCCGGTGTGCCGCCAGTGCCGCCGACCCGCGGTTTCCACGCCCAACTTCGAAGCAGCTCCGATGAGGCTCCCCCAACGGCATGGTGTGTGTGTGTGTGTGTGCTTTCGTAGGCTTTGGGAAGCCGTGGCGGGAGCGCATGGGAGCGCATCATGAGCATCAGGGGCACCCCTTCGATCGCCGAGAGGCCTGGAGCATCTCTGGGATTTTGTCGTGAAGCTTCGCAGGAATCCACGAAGGAGAAAAGAAGTTCCAATCGCGTCGATGATGTTTCTGGGGTCGTCTCTACCCAGGGAAAGGAAACACCAACGGTGACAATGATGCTGCTCATGTGTGCGTCGCGCGTGCGCGGGCAGGGGATCACGCGGAGCGCGTATGGCTTTGGTCCAGCATGGCCGTCGTGGTCCCACGCGGCCATGCCGGCTCGTGCTGCCAGGCCCCACAATAATAGGAGGGGTCCGGAGTTTGGTCCCAGCTCTCAAAAAAACGGGCATCTGATGCATCCTCACGATGCCCAGCAGCTTGATCCGCCTCTGGAAACCTCAGCTCCCCAAGCTTGCCACAGTCCAAAACATGACCAACCTCCAAAATCGTCCCGGTGCAAGTTTCAACCGAAGACCTGGAGCCTGCCAACTCGCAGCAACCAAGCGACATTGGCACGAGGCCTGGAGGAGGAGCAAGGCCAGGTGGCGGCTCGAGGGCGCTCATCCTGACGTTGTGCCAAGAAAGCCCTCAGAGTCAAGAGAAAGGCAGAGATGAGCTCCAAGAGATCGGAAGGCCTTGCAAAGCTCATCTTCAAGTTTGCCATCAAGCCTCCGGGCTGGCGAAGAATGCACCACGTCTTCAGCTGCTGTGATGATGATGACGATGGTGACGATGATGACGATGATGACGATGATGGCGATGATGATGATGATGATGATGATGATGATGACGACGATGATGATGATGATGATGGTGGTGGTGAGTATTCCTACAGCTGCAACTGCATGTCTTTACTGTACTGCTGACCTGATCTTGCTCTGAAGGTTGCTAATTCCACCCAAGTCACCGGAAACCTCCTCCTCTTCCTCTTCCTCTTCTGCTTCTAGTTCCACTTCTACTTCTGCTTATTGTACTTCTTTCTGCGTCTACTTCTGTCTCTACTTCTGCTTCTACGTCTGCGTCTACTTCTACTACAGCTACTACTGCTGCTACTGCTGCGAGAGCTACTACTGCAAAGCCTTTGGCTTTACTGACGACGACGACGAGCCACTCCACTGCACCAGCTGCTGTTGCCAATGTGTTCGCTTCTGCCATTCACAATATGGCTTTGCAAGGCATGGTATCTCAGCCGCGGCCACTACTGTCATCATTGCTTGCTAGTCGACAGCTCCTGCCGCCATGCACTCTTGGCACTCCCGCTGCCTCTGTGTTTTCGGAGGGAAGGCGGTGCCAAGCTGTCGAGCTGACTCTCGTTTGAGCAGAGCTGCATACAACAGTCAAAAGAAGCTGATGAGTGATTGATGCGGAAGGAAGAAAAAACTTTGTAGTTTGTGCTGCACAGAGAAGCTGTTCTCAAGGTCTATTTATGCCACTGCAGCAGTCTGCAGCTCTGCAGCTTGTACGACGACACAGAAGTAGAGGACATGAGAGAGGAACTAGGTCGCACTTCGCTCTCAGCCTCATCTTCTTAGCATGCTTGCTTTATTCGGTTGATAGGCAACATGTTGCAGCAAAACAACTGGTAGTCCCCGTGGTACTGACAGCTGCTTTCCCAGCCGATGAGGACGACCGCATGGCCACCCTGCCAAGGCAGGTCGCTCCCGCTGTGGCTTTAAAAACAGCACTCAAGAGCAGTGATACAAACGTTGACAGTGGGTGGGTTGGGCTTGCAACGCAGACCTGCATGGCACCCCACTGATAGTTGTAGCCATGCTCAGGCCAGAACCTGAGACGAGAGGGCGGTTCAAGTTTCAACTCTCAGCCGGTCTGAGCCTTCACGAAGCACTGTGAACGGCGATTCCATGACAGAGATTAGGCTGCAGCTGGAAGAACCAGGTAAAGTCCTCGCAGACAGAATCCCAAACGCTGGCTATCCACGGCGGAAGGCATCTCAGCTGAGTCGACCCCAGCCTCATAGACATAGTAGCTGGTGTAGAAAGGGCCATCGTTGTAGATCTCCATTTTGAAAACATCCTGCACCATCACGCTCACTTTGAAAGAACTGACTCAAGCTCTGAATGGTCTCAGCAAGCAGACGATGCTGTAACGAATGCCAGCCCCGTCTTTTTAAGTAACCACTGCGGGAGTTGATGAAATCTGCCGTCGTCCTTCTGGTTGACGATGTAGTGGTACCTGCAGAAGACTGTGTCCAGCATAGCGACAGCTTATCATGTGGTCAATGTGGTGGGCCTCGTTGCCTTGTGCGGCTGCGGCTCTGCCAAGCATCGATCCCTGCTGCACTGCTCCTTCGGACTAGTGTGAGAGGAAAGCGAACCACGCCCATTAGCACGGGCTGCGCATGAAGACAAGGGCACCAGCACGTTTGTTTGGGATGCTTGAGACCATCGTGACCGTACAGCTGGCAGCAGACATGTTTGCAAACACGTGCAAGCAGAGTGCTGAGATGGGAAATGTCGGAGATGTGGTCTCCTATGAGCCCTCCCGCCTTGCTGCGGCGAAGAAGTGTCGGTCGTTGTGAATGCGTGCGATCGACGAGAAACATGAGCACGACAAACAAGAAACGCGTGGAACGGCCAGGGAATGTTGCACCGTTAGCCATGCAGTGGTGTGCATGT